CTGTACAAAGGACTTACAGAAAATGATTAATAACATATGTTACCACAAGTTAGAAATCTAAAAAAAATCTGGACACTGAATAATTGATAAGGCATTGTCAGCAAATAGACATAATGAAATCCCTTTGCTGATTAAAGTTGTCTATCTTCACCACACTACGTAGACATAAACTTTGTCTTAATATGTTGCCTGGTGCAGTATCTCTGCACTGTACTAAGACTTACCATTCTAACTGTTCTGACAGCAAATGGACTTTTATCCAACATAATCCCTTATTTCATATCCTTGTTCGTTATCTCATCTAATTCAGAACATGTACTTATATCTATAAATTTTAATACTTATTTTTAGAGCTTCCTCTCTTTTAAAATTTGCTGTTTTGTCATTCCTACTTCTCTCTGTGTAATTTTCTGCAAAACAATATACTATTGCTTCACTTTATTTCTTTTCTTTTTCCATTTTGGGTCCTTTGTACATCCTCTAAGGCCTATGTTGTTAGTTTTTATAATCTATCTAACTGCATCTAAGTTGCAGAGCTATATAGATAATTGTGGCAACTGTTTTGCCAAAGATGTTTCTTAAAAATTCTTATATTTTTGGTGCTCTCAATGTCCTTCTCCCCCTTAAATTCTTTCTTTAAAACTCTCCTTCTCTTAACTGGCCTACATTTGTATAGATATAATAGCCTGAATTTTTATATACGTAATAATAGTTTGAAAAGGCTATTTATATGGTATGAAGGGACAAAACCAGCCCCAAAGGAGGATTATCTTAGACAGTGAAGACCACCTGTTTTATCAACACAAGTTGTCCTCGATTTACAACAGTTCACTTAGTGACCATTCAAATTTACAATGCTGAAAAAAGTGACTTGACCATTTTTCACACTTACAACCATTGCAGCATCCCCACAGTCATGTGATTTACAGTTGGGATGCTTGACATCTGTCTCATATTTATGATGATTATAGTGTCCCAGGATTATATGATTCCCTTTTGCAACCTTCTGACAAAGTCAATGGAGAAGCCAGATTAACTTAACAACAGTGTTACTAACCTAACAATTGCAGCATTTCACTTAACAATTGTGGCAAGAAGAGTCATAAAATGAGGCAAAACTTACTTAACAAATGTCTCACTTAGCAACATAAATTTGGAGGTCAGTTGTGGTTGTAAGTTGAAGACAACCAGTGCCTAACTTCCTTGTTCCCTATGCTGTATTGTAGTATCTTGTACTATTATCAACATTAAACTAAGGTGCAGTTGTTAATCCAGTCATGTATAGCTGGAATGAGGGAAGGAAATATCCATCTAAAACATTTTTTGTTTGTTTATTTAATCAAATATATATAGTTGCCCATATTAATAGAAGTAACTGGGTGGCATACATATTCTTGTTTTCAGGCAATAAAATGCCTTGATCTTGGCCTGAAATTGATGACTTCAGTGAAGTTGATACATTCAGTACAGTTTTCTACAGCTTATCCTTTTTGCTTTTATTGATCTCCATCTTTTGGTTAAAAAAAAATTGGTTGAATGGGCTCCCTCAAACATTTGACTTAGTTGTAAAGTTTAATATTAAGATGCAATATATTCAATATGTATTAAGACACTAACTCTGCATTTTCTTTTACAGCGTAGCTCTTGCAATATACTACCATATCAAAAAAAGGTAAGTTTGAATTTGAAAACAGTTCAATTGTTTTTTTCCTCTGTTTTTTTTTTTAATTTCACTGCCTTATAAGGCAGTTTGCAAAGCAGAGATACTTGATGTGAATATTCAGTGCTACTGCATACATAGCCGTGAATATGTTGTAACCAGAACTGAAACAGTACATACTCTTTCTACCCAAGGATGTTCTGGGTAACCAGGGATGGTCAGTAATGAGGAAAGAACCACATAATGGATCATGTCCATTTAGTTCCATAATCCCAAATCCCACAACAAGGTACAGAGAAACTGTTCTAATGGGATCATGGATGAAGACCTTAAAGTATAGCTGATTTATATTAAGACTCAAAGTTGGTATAAATTTTTTAATAAAAAAAATAAAGCTTCATGCTTCCTTGTATAGTTCTTATTCTAGCTTTTATTTTAAAGAATCTTGACGAAATCAGTAGATAGAATACAGAGATGCAGAGGAGACATAGACAAGACTCTTTAAGTAGTAAGTTATATGTATATAATTCAAAACCAACATCCTTATTCACATATTGCCATTCGTATAGTAAATCTTAAGATCCATAGATTTCTCTAATATTTGGGTACTGGTGACCAGATATGGAATATTGACACATGCACATACAGTTGTGCAAAGCTTTTAATTAGATATGACGTTTTATTTTACTGCCTTTATTTTTTTTTCCTGATAATTGTTGCATTGATGGATGGAATCAGTCACCAAACATCAACTGAGCAAAAAGCAAATTGCTTGAGATTATCTTTTGTAGTCCATTAGGATGGTTCCTGCTGGAAGACTTCCCAATTCTTTTGTTGTTTGTCTTGAAGAGGTGACTATTTTTTCAACCAAAACCTTAGATTTCAACTATCCATTTAATTTGTTTTTTAAAAAAATCAAGTGGGTTGTGGACCCTAATGGGAAGCATAAATGTTTTCTGTGGACACACTGATGCTCTTAATCGCAGATATAACTGGCAGCCATAGAAAAATATAGAACACTAAAAACCTTTAGTTCTCCAAACCTCTTCTGTCATTCTACCACGAAATTATATGGATTTGAGCTCATTTCAAAGGAGTACCTTTTTAAATTCATTTGAAGCCCATCTTCTAAATGGAAGTTATGTCCAACATTTGTACCTCTGAAAACATGTTACTGAACTAGCATTCATGGAGTGTGGACAGAAGGAATAGAGTAGAGTAGGAGTAGAATAGAATAGAATAGAATAGAATAGAATAGAATAGAATAGAATAGAATAGAATAGAATAGAATAGAATAGAATAGAATTCTTTATTGGGCAGGTGTGATTGGACACACAAGGAATTTGTCTTGGTTACGCTTATATGGTTACGTTTCCTATAGTTTTCCTTTCCTTTCAAGATTCTTCTGTCCCTATTTACTGCATTATGTAGGGTACATAAAGATGGGTGCTCTCACCCTAACTTTGAGGACTCGGCAGAAAAGTTGGACATGAATAGTTGACAAAGAAGAGCAGTATTATCAAACAAAAACAAAAACAAAACCACGGAAGTTTTCTGAATCTGATTATCCTTGCCCCAGTGTGATGTACATGTGCCCTCTACTGTTACCTTGGAAGTATTGTAACATTCCCTAATCAGTAACCATCTAGCCATGTAAGAGAGATCCATCTAAAGTCAACCAAAAGTCTAATTTACCTGGCATGCTTTCTGCTGTGATCATCAGCTACATGCTGATTGAACAAAGCTCCCCAGCAGTTTATGAAGGCAACCACTATGCAATTATTGCTAAGTAATTATTGTGTGTGGGATGGAACAAAGAACTGCTGGGTGGCAACTGACCTCATAATTATATTTTAGTATTTCTACTTACATTGGCATCTAATGAAGGCAATGGATGGCAGAAAGTTTAAAAGCCCTAGTGCTTTTTTGATAAATTGTTCTTTAAAGTGCATTCTTGTTCCTATCCTCCATCTCTCCCATCCCTAGTTTGATAGGGGGAGACACTATGTAAGTAAAGCAAAACAATGCATTCGTGATGGATCCAAGCTTGTTTAGGATCATAGGGATGAGTTGGAAATGGCTTTCAGTTAAAAAAAAAAAAGCGTATATACCAATCTATAAAGAAGAACACAATTGAATTAAAAGAAAGGAAAAGCTGTGCTGTTTTGTTCCTGTCCAGTCAGTAAAATGTCCTTGAACTCACTCTTTCATTCCAACAAGGATTGCTCTTGTAAATTTTATTTAAAAAAAATCTCACAACTACTTTCATTTTTGGAATAAAGAGAGATTCCACTCTTATGTTCTGTTGTAGAGTGAGCTTAACCAAGTGCCATATTTCTTAGCTTGACTGACTGTAGCATCTGGAGACCTTAACACTATCTACATTTTTGCAAATGTCCTTCAAGTTTAAATAGCTTGGCATATGAGTGAGGACTGATTCTTTTTTCTTTTTTTTTAGTGTAGCACCCTCCCTCCCCAGTAGTTTTCCATGGACAAATACAGAACGTCTACTTTTCAATATAGTCCTTACTCCTAGGTCGATAGATCTCATTAGTGTGGCTTCTTTTTACGTGTGACAAGATGAGACTGTTCTAGATCAGCTATTTTTGTAGGGCGTTGAGAAGTGTTTCTCTCCCTTTCTGTTTGTTCAGTAACATTAGCATTGATTCTCTTCTTTTTTTCCCCCATTTCTAGGGACGTAGATGGAACAATGCTCCTAGATATTTTTGATGAAAATCTCCACCCCCTTTCGGTAAAGCTCACTTACATAAGGACAATAACAAAAATTTGGAATTTACGATATTGGTTCTGCTACTTCTTTTCCCTTTACATCTGCCACTTCTTCCCAAATCATGTGTAACATATTCTCATTTTTAAAAATAATATTATTTCCCCAGAAATCCGAAGTGCCACCAGATTATGACAAACATGAACCTGAACAAAAGCAGATTTATCGCTTTGTTCGGACGTTGTTCACTGCTGCTCAGCTAACTGCCGAATGTGCTATTGTCACCCTGGTGAGTAAACAAAAGATCATGGTTAAAATCCTTAAAACAAAACTAATTTTAGATCGTCCCTTTAAGATTTATATTTGGAGTAAAGATCACATATCATATTCACCTATCCATGACTTCATGTATAAAATAGTTGTCGCAGGTGAGACCAGATACATATAAATATAGATACTTTTAGCTTTCATATACTTTGAATATATTTAACATTTGCATACTATTTTTCTTATCTTTTTATTTATCAGTTAAAAAAAACAGCCTATCTACCTCATAGACGGGTTTTGGGGAATAGATCAACAGTTCTTACTTCTCCTAAATATACACCTAACTACTGCAGACTATATATTTTCAGTTAACTTTGTTTCTGAGACTCGCAGTGTAAAATCTTTTCAACCTGTCTTATATTTCTTTTTTTCTTTTTTCTTTATTTTTATTATGGTTTTTTTTTTGCGTTTACATATCTCTTCTCATCTTTAACAACACTGTGGCATCGTTGTTACATATACAGATATCTATACATTTATATACATTTTTCTTACTATTCTTATTCCTACTAGTCAACCATTCATACCAATTTTCCTAGACCGCATAGTATCAACCTGTATATTATATGCAATATTTGCCCTGATCTCCCCAATTAAACTCTAAATCTGAGGGTCATAGATACATTTTATGTTTATTAACTTTAAGGGATTGTGACTTTATTCTCATATACCAGGTAGTCAAATGCCTTGAGTCATACAGTTGTGCAAAGCTTTTTTTATATGTTATTTTATTTTACTGACTTATTGTTTTTTCCCTGATAATTTTGTTGCATTAAACTATTTCTGTTTTTTTTTAATTGTAAAGACTTGTCAAAGGCTGTAATAATGATATTTGAGTTTATTTGATTTTGCAATATATCATTGTAGTTCAGTTCTTAAATTTCATATTTTTCCCTCTAGTGTTTAAATTATTCTTTCTTTTCCTCTTTCTCCTGAATAATGATGCTATCTGGAAAAATAATTGATTTTGAAGGTTCTCAAGATAAAAAGTAACTTTATTTTTAAGGAAGTTTGGTAAAAATGTTATATGATATATACAAGCTTTTTCCAAAATACCGTTTTTAACAGGCAAGTTCAGTAACTGTGGTAAGCTTTTTATTTGGAGGTATATTTCACCCTTTTAGCATTTCTTTAAATAAAGTAGCTAGGAAAAAGAGAGCAGATTGGAACGATGGCACATGACAAAAAGGAACATTAAATCATTGAAACCAGATCTGCTGCATCCCCATTCCACATTTGCAGTTACTATTTATGAGGGGACTTCATTTTGGTGCGATAAATGGGGTCACAAAAGGTTAAATAAATGGCTCCAATCTAGCTTACAGCCTCTATCTTCATGTCTTCTATTTAGTTAAAAAAAGAAAAACAGCTGTGCTGTCAAACTGTGTGACAAGCATCATGTCTTCTCTGGGCTTTTGCTTACATTTAACAGGGAGATCCCTTTAATTAAATTAACAAATCAAAACATTTGATTTTCGAGATCTGTTTCGATCTGGGTCTGGATCATAACATGAAGTCCACATTTATTGTTCTGATAGATGAACTCTTAAGAAGAGTGAATAGAGAATGCTTCCTTTTTCTTGGTGATATCATAGTGATTTTGGATAAAAGCAGCCATACTATTCTTGTGGATCATGTTAGAGCAGGTCTGTCAAACTCCCGGCCTATAGGCCGGATACATCATGCACTGACCACTCCCATGCCCAGTTAAGTGGGGTGGAAGTCCTGATATGTCACATTACACCTCTGTGTTAAAGAATTAAAGATGGGGATGCTATGATTCTGTTCCTGCATTAAGAGTTGGTTCCCCCATTTTAATCAACATTTTCGCAAATCACTGGAAATGTTTGTCAGAAGCTATAAAACTAGATGTCACTTCCATTCTACTTCTCTCTTCCACTGTCATCAAAGGTGCCAAGCGTTGTAATTGGTTCTTGCTTGAACTAGATTGCAGGCATAATGACAGCTGAATCCTGATAATTCAGAAGGGTTGATGGCCTGGGAAGATAGTGGCCAACCAGTAGGTGTTGTTGCTGCCTCCAGAGTGGTACATTTCCACAAATGTAGTTTGTGGATCCTCTTTGACCCTACTTTGTCTTGTGTGCTGTGCAATAGTAAGCTTTAAATCTTATATTCCCGATTTGTCAATGGTGCCCCTTCTTGGGAAGGTCTAATCTGACTACAGTGGTCCATGTACTCTTTAGTACATTATTTAGATTATGTGTTCTTTAATTTTTAGTCTTCTTTCCATAGAAGCTGTTATCTTGATGCCATATTTTATATATTTTTATTTATTAGCTATTTATCTAATTTGGAAGCCACCCATTTCCTTCACAGTGGGATTCAGGGCAGGTCACAATTTTATATAATATTTTACTTTGATTTTCATCTTGTTTTTGAAGTTTAATCGTTTTTATGATATTAATTCATGTCATTGACAGTGATGTACTAAAATTTGTAATTTCAAGATAGACACGCTACGATATAGATTGTTGCATATGGATGTGTCATATAGAAATTACTTAAATAACTTAAATTCTAACCTTAATCTTATTACATGGGTATTTGAAGAATAAATGAATGGTGTGATGGTAAAAAATACTTTTTTTTGTCATCTTCTATTTGACCAAAATTTAAAATAAATAAAATAAAATAGAAACATGAACCATAGGAGGAAAAGATAGAAAGGACAAGGATTTATTTTTCATTGGGTTAGGGAATTTCCACTCACAACGGATGTTACCATTTAAAAAAAGTAGATTTTACTGTACTCTTTTCCTTTTGGCCTTGATTTTTGTTGAGAACTATAATTCAGTGGTGAAATACCTGCCTTAAAAGATAAGAACTCCATGTGTGGCAGAGGCTGTAAAAAAAAAAAACATTTTCACCCCCAAGGAGAATTGTAACCACCATTGTAGATAATAAAGTAGTCTACTTAAAAGCACCCTGGCTTAGATTATCTCTTGATTCTGCAAAGAGGTATTGCTATAGCCTTTTGATCAATATTATATAAATGGGAGTGGGATGTCAATATTCAGGATCCAGAAGATGTTATAGGTTGAAACTTTATATTTCTGAACTTGCTTATACATCAGCAAGCAAACTGTCTTGGACAACTGTCAAAGACATTAATAATAACTGATATTTATTTGAAGGACTGTTGGAATAGCTGGACTATGTAGGAGTTGATGTTTAAAAAAGTTAAAGAGAGAAGCCTTCAGTTACATTCCATTGTGAACAAAATAGTTTTGGAACATTGGCAACTTTTTGTAGAAAAGTGGACAATACTTATGAAAGAACTGAATTTGCAGAAACAAGGCTATTTCCAATTCCTCTTCAGGCTATTCCCTTCCATCTCAAACTTTAAATGGACAGAAAAAGGAACTGGTGTATCCATGCAGTAAAAGATGGTTTGGCCCTTTTCACTTAGAATAAATTCCCACTATTGGATATTTAAATACCACTATCTGTTGCTGTGTTTGTAAATTATTTGGAATTGTTTAGCATGCACATAATATCCCTCCACTTACTACAAAGTTGGCATTAAATCAGCGTATTTTCAAAGTGGTTTTCCAGAGTAAAGTTCAAGTTTCTCATGAATTTTCCTCATTTTGTCCAATTGGAGAAAAATGTTCTGACTTGCTTTAAATTCATGGTAAGTAGTAGAAACTGATGAAAGTTTATAATTTAATTATTAAAATGAATTAGATGATGATCCATTCTGGCTAATGAAGTTAAAATGATATTTCTGCCTTTGCGCAACCCTCTGTTAAATCCAGCAGAATTTGTTATAGGTGTAAAGGTGAGTGAGCTTATACTATTCTAAAAGTTAGCAAAAAATATTCAGAGAAAGGATGAATTGCTATCCATGCTTTTCATTAAATTCTTACCATTAAACTTGGTTTTAATACCATAACAAAAAGACAGCCATAATTAAGCATAATCTATGTAAATTTCCTATAGCTATTCAAAACTGCCACCTATTCATTATATTGAGAGACAGATCTATCTTCGTTTATACTTTTCATATAGGCTTGTACATTCTCTTCTGGTAGTCATTCTACTTTTACTCTCCTTTTTGCTAATTTTCTTTTCTTCAGTAAACCTGTTCCCCCTAGATTTCCTCTAGACACTACCAAAAATCGGTCTGTTTCACATCTTGTATTATTCTTGTACCTTCACTAAAGTTTTTCCTGTCGTTCTTCAGATTTCATGCTGTCTAGATATTTTCTATTAGTAAATTCAAGTTTCAAGTAAATTTAATTCATAGGCATACTGCAGACTCTGGTAGCCATACAACTAGATCAGGGGTGTCAAACCCTATGACATCATGAGCCATATCACGATGTTTTTTGCCTTTGTGGAGCCAGGATGTGTATGGCCTACGCGGGCCATATCCGGCCAATGGGCTGCCAGTTTGACAGGCCTGATCTAGATCAAGAGTCTCCAACCTTGGCAACTTTAAGACTTGTGGATTTCAATTTCCAGAATTCCTCAGCCAGCCTGATTGGCTGAGAAATTCTGCGAATTGAAGTCCACAAGTCTTAAAGTTGCTAAGGTCGGAGACCCCTGATTTAGATCATCTGAACATCCAATGAGTAATCAAACCTAATAATAAATAAGAATTATGTCTGGTAAATCTTAATATTCTTCTCTAGATGACTGCTACTATTAATCCAGCACATGGCCAAAGATCAAAATTCATTTTTGTTGGCGTGAATCTAATGTCAGTATATTTTTTAAAAAATTTATTTAAGCAAATAGCTTTATAGTTAGGTTGCTTTGCAATGTAGGTCTTCTTTTAATATTCTTTTTTATTAAATTTCATTATATGATACAACTAGACAGGAAACAAAGTTAGAAAACTGAGAAAAAGAACATTGCAAAAAGAAAAGAAGAAAATTAAACCTCTGTCTTTCATCAGTGCAGTAGATTACAAAAATAATACCTCAATCTTTTGCTTTACATTTCTCAACATTTCAAGCCATTTCTATAATTATAAAACTGTTCCAATCATCAAAACCTAAACTCATTCCTCCTCCTCCCCCTGCCCCCGCCAGTTTTGAGCAAAAAAAAATCCAGTAGTGATTTCCAGGTAGAAACAAAACTAGATAAACTCTTTTCTCTAATTTGTCAGTGTCACCATATTTGCAAACTTCATCACCTTTCCATCTACTCTTCCATTGTTGGAAAGTGTGTCTTTCCACTTTTGTGCATATAAGATTCTTGTTGCTGTCCATTTAGGCAGTCCAGTTACTTCTTGTGCATGAAAGCATTCAGGTGTAGGGAATGTCAGTGGTAAAACAACATTTTCTGTGGAGATGCAAAGGGAAGAAGATTGATGAAAGCAGAGCTACAGCATCATGGCACAAAACCTTGCTCATTTTGTGCATTACAGGCTGGCTGCCCTTGTGATGTAATTAGCTGCTTTTTTAAATTGCATTGTTAAATTTCTCCACTCCACCCCATATTGCCTTCTACTTTTTAATGATGATTGCATTAACATCTTTGCTGATTTTCAGATGTTTTCTATATAGAAGTTTGCAGATCAACGAATAATCAAGGCTACTTCAGTACATCGTCCGTGGTAAACTCGTGCAAGAAAATCTTTTAAAGTAGTTATCATGCTGGCTATTTTAAAACATTGTTTATTGTACCAAGTTTGAAATATTTACAGAAATCAGCAGTAAAAGCTATAGGTTACAGTTGGATCTAAGTGGATGTTGTTAATAAACCATGACATATTATTTATCTGGTTATACAATTGGAAACGATTTTCCATTTAAAGATCACTCAGGTAGGAGGGTGTAATTGTGTTTCCTACTCTTATTTCTATTCAGCTAGAGAAAAGTATGAACTCTTACTTTCACATTTCTTTTCAGGTATATCTTGAAAGATTACTAACTTATGCAGAGATTGATATTTGTCCATCAAACTGGAAAAGAATTGTACTTGGTGCAATTCTACTTGCATCCAAAGTTTGGGATGATCAGGCTGTGTGGAATGTGGACTACTGTCAGATCCTGAAAGATATCACAGTTGAAGACATGTGAGTTTATTGTTCGACCCTATGTTTGCTTATTTGTTTGATAATAGATGCAATGGAAAAATGTCTGAAGTGGCTGAGAAATTTATTTATTAAATATTTGCTACCCATGTCGTTTTGAAATGATTCTTGAGTGGCTTACAATATTAGAAGTGAAACAGCCTCTAGATCAGGGGTGTCAAACTCAAATTCATTGAGGGCTGTATCAGGTTTGTGTTTGACTTGGGGGGGGGCAATGGGGCGTGGCTAGGGTGAGCGTGGCAAGCTTGATGTCACTAATCAAGGCTCCATTTTCAGCTGCGACTCAACCCTCCCCCCCGGGCTTTGTTTTCTACTGTGATGGCTGCTTGCAGCCCTCTGCCAGAGAAAATGTAGCTCAGGACTGTGTGTGACCCCTGTGAGCTCCATTTTTGGCCACAACGGCCTCTTGCAGCCCTCTGCCAGGGAAAATGCAGCTTGCAGGCCCTTCCAAGTTCTGTTTTTGCTGGCAGATGGGGCGGGTCATTCATTGTTTCTAGAACAGGTCCACAGGCCAGATCTAAGAGCCCCATGGGGCGGATCGGTCCTGCGTGCCTTGAGTTTGATAACCCTTGCACAAGGCATACAGAGCAGTATGACAAATAAAAAGCTATTCAATTTGGGAACAAAGTTGGGGAACAAGAGGTTAAAATTTTCAGGGAAATCTCATTTTCATGAATTTCACGCAAGGGTCTTCAAACTTGGCAAGTTTAAGACTTGTGGATTTCAATTCCCAGAATTCCTGAGCTAACATGACTAGAGGAGGAATTCTGGGAGTTGAAGTCCACAAGTCTTAAAGCTATCAAGTTTGAAGCCCCCTGATTCATTGGAATGGAATGGAATATGAATGAAATGTAATATGAATGGGGCTGGATGGATCGGAACAGAACTGATCAGTAAATCATGTAGTTGTTTAGCAAATCAAACTTCCCTCATTGACTTAGTTTGTCAGAAGCTGTCTGGAAAAGTTGCGAATGATGATCACATGATCCTAGGATGAAATATATGCCAGTTCCCAAGCACATGAATTTTGATCATGTGACCATGGAGATACTGCACTGATTCTAAGTATGCGGACTAGTTATAAGTCATTATTTTTAGTGTTATAACTTTGAATGGTCATTAAATTAATTGTCATAAATTGAAGACTACTTGTAAATACAAATACATGAGAAAAAACAATGTTAGATCCAACCAAATTAGCTGAACCTAGATTCTGTTAGATAAACGAAGTAAGGTTTAGGTCATAATGAAATAAATTTAACTTAGCCTATATGTAACATTTCTGGTAAATAAACAAACAAAAGCTAGTCAATTCCAGAAATCATAAGTAAGAACAGGATAGGCATGTCTCTCATAAACAGAGCAATATTCCATCACATTAAATAATCAGTGATTATGAAAAACATCTTTTTCATTTAAATATATAAGGCAGATAGACACAAAGTGAAGAAAGATTAACTTTGCAGGTGTTTGCTATTAAAAAAACACCTGTTTACATTCTATTAGTTTGTTGTTCACTCGGCTCAGCCTCTGTGAATTGTGGCAAATGCAAATTTTGTACTTTTTCTGTTCTTTATTTCTCAGGAATGAATTGGAACGCCAATTTCTTGAGTTGCTGCAGTTCAACATCAACGTTCCCTCAAGTGTTTATGCTAAGTATTATTTTGATTTGCGCTCCTTAGCAGAAGCAAACAACCTGAGTTTTCCTCTAGAACCTCTCAGCAGGGAAAGAGCATGTAAACTTGAGGTGAGACTCCTGATCGTCTCGCCTTTTGAACATTGCAATAAGCTCTCTTTATTTTACACCACATGCATCAAATTATTACTTCATTTGTTATCAGCAGAAAGCATTGGTCTTTGCTGATTTGCTACCTTAAGAGTCAAAAATATTATTTGTTACTCTCTACTCCAACCTCATTTCCCAAACGATGTAGATATTTTTGCAGAATATATTGGGAACAGTTTATTGATTCATACATGTCTTGGATTACTAAGCAGACTGTTTTAAAGAATGTCTATAAAGTTTAAACCAAACGACTATGATGCATTCAGAACTGCAGTGAAGAGGATTGGGTTCCTCGGCATTTTCATGATCTGCAGAAAGGAAAGAAAGATTTCTTTGATAGATTTGTGTCCTATCACTCTAAGAGCTCAAGGCAGTATCCATAGCATTTCATCCTCTGCTTCTTCCTGGTCCTGATAAGTTGACAATATATTTTGGTTCAGGCACCACTATCTTGGCATATGCTTGGATATCCCATAAAGGTAGACGACCACTGGTGGGATTCAATTTTTTTTACTACCGGTTCTGTGGGCGTGGTTTGGTGGGCGTGGCATGGCTTGGTGGGCATGGCGGGAAGGATACTGCAAAATCTCTATTCCCACCACACTCCTTGGGGAAGTTTACTGCAAAATCCCCATTTCCTCCCCAGCCAACTAACCTGCTTTCCAGCTCCATTCTCCTGTGCGGAGTAACAAAAGAAGACTTAGCCAATCAGCTGGGACACGGGAGGCAGAGAATAGATGGGGGTGGGGCCAGTCAGAGGTGGTATTTGCTGGTTCTCTGAATTACTCAAAATTTTCACTACTGGTCAGAACCTGCTGAATACCCCCTCTGTAGAGGACCTACTTTGAATCTGGAAGTTTCGGCAAATCAAGTCATTGTGTATGTTTGACCCTCTTCATTCTCTATTCTCTACAGGCAATTTCTCGCTTGTGTGAAGATAAATATAAGGAATTCAGGAAATCTGCAAAGAAACGGTCAGTCAGTTCAGACAATCTGTCTATAATTAGATGGTCTCCTGCTGTTATCTCCTAACAGTGAAGTCTGCTATACAAGACTATAGAAGTACTGTTTCTATCATCAACTTTGGGTGGGAGGGTTGGTTTTGGTGATTTTCTTTTTTCTTTTCCTGGTTTTTCTTCTTATTTTTAGATCTGCCTTTACAGTGCCTCCCCTTTTGTGTAGCACACAAGAATAACTAGGGACTTGCTAAGAAGAACTTTGAAAGAAGATTTGTTTTCTTGTTTATTACAACTCCTCGGCTTTTTGATGGGGAGCAGGCAAAATCAAATACCTTCTAAGAGAGGATGAAACCTCAGAAACTGATACAAAATCATTAAAGAGGAAGAGGAAGAATAAAAGACCCTTAACAGAAGGTTGCAAGAAGCATAATAAGAAAGAAGTTGAATGTGTTTTGAGATCCTCTTCAGTATCTTCTGCTGGTTTCGCATTCATTTTTCGCTTTTTGCTTGAGGTTGCTTTCTCTTCTGTAACAACCATGGAGAAGGCAGTGCCTGTGGTAGCACAAAATGAGCCTGTGATTAGAGTCTGTTTCCTTTGTCCCTTATGAAAGATGCGCTTTTGTTCATAAGCTGTTTTATTAGCTTTTCCCCACTCCCCTAATTCTTATGGACATTGTTGTTTCTTGTGTGCTTTTACTGTATTTGGGGGGAAATTGATTGATTGACAGTGCTGAACCCAAAGTATATAAGATCAGGTGATTTTATTTTTATTTTTTTAATTTATAGCTACCGGTGTCTTGATGTTGCCCATGCGGTGCATTATCAGTACTGGTGCTTTGTATTATATGTGGTTGCATACGCCTTCCTACCTTTTTTCAGATGGGTTTATTTTTTCTTACTGTAAACTCAAGAGTTGTTAAAAGGATTCAGGTGACAGTGAAGCTTGGGCCAATGTGCAGGCATTGCTTTAGGTAGACTAGTTCTTTTGCAAGATTTTTAAAAAAATCATTTAGAGATTAGGTAGAGTCAAGCAAGAGAAATGCAACGAAAGGATGAGAGTAAGAATCTTCTTTTGTATGGCCCAAATAGTTGATTTTCTTCACTTCCTGGTTCAATGTTGCAAGCAATAGCCTCAAAAGTTTTTTATATGTTTATTTTAAATGGAAATCAATCTGTTTATATATAAAAGAGAAAAAAAACTGAAAAAAAGTTTTTGTTCAAGGATCCATAGAAGAAGAAAAGGAAAAGAAAGGAATTATATGTGTATGTGGACGCACACACATACATATACATGCAGGGGCATGAGTATGTGTGTATAATAAAAAGAAGTGTTTTTGTCAGAGACTAGGTTTTGGAATAAAAACTGTTTAAAAAATGAGTCCTTTTCAGCGTAGGTGCTTATAGGAATTTAAATAAAATGCAAACTGTGAAGAAAAAATTATTGCTTTGTTGATTATTTTTTAACTTTTTTAAAACTGGTTCCTATCTTTTCTATCTCTTTCTTTCTGTCTTTTAATGGGATAAGCAAATCAAATACCATATATATATATACATACATACATACATACATACATACATACATATGGATCTTTGGTTGTTCGGGTTTTCTCCCGCGTAAGATTCGAAGTATCTAGGCAACGTTTTGATGAAGTCTCATCATCTTCAGGCTTCTGTCTTCAGCTCTGTGCTTCTCAGAGTCACTCTGAGAAACACAGAGCTGAAGACAGAAGCCTGAAGATGATGAATGAGACTTCATC